AAAATATAATACAATATTAAAATTTTTTATTGTCTGTCATTACTTTTTGGGGCAGTGAAAATTATTCGAGTTTCTACTTTGCGATCTTTTCTAGTAAGACCGTTATTCTAGTTGATACTTTGGAAGGAGGGGGCTGGGGGAGATCAAAAGTAAAAAGGTGGGAAAGTGAGTATACCACTTTGGTGTATAGTAGGTGGTCTAGACGGTCGCTGTAATGGATGTGTTAAATTTGAATTCAATGACATAAAATCATTATTGTAGGTAATCATTATTGTATGTCCCATACGAAAACCGATTCTGACTTCTGAGCGACGACGGTCTGTCAGGCGTCTTTATGATATTATTTCGGCTATATTGCTTTTAATGTAATTTATTTTACTATTAGTAATACAGTTGTAGGTTGAATTATATTTTGAATTGCCTTTGAAAATGTCATTGTGTGCAATGTGCATACAATATTTATAATATACTTTAAAATTTTAAAATACCCAGACGGTGTTCACCAACAATATTTTTAAATTTCAACAAAATAACTAAAATTGTTATTCTTCGTTTAAAAATCTAGTTTGAACTAAATTTGAACTTAGAAAAAATATCTATACAAATATTTTTTTTTGCTTTTCTGATTACAATATAAACTATTTATGAAAAAGCTTGTTTTAAACTTTCAATCTTTAGCTATACAATTGAACATTTTATATATTTTTAAATACAAATAATTTTGAAAATTGTCGAGATTTTGATGAATATTGTTAACATTTGAACTTTAAACCCTTATAAAAATGTATGTACCTTTAATATTTTTCAACTGCTATTAAAACAACTTATGAAGAATCTTGTAATACACTTTCAAGAATTTTGACCCAGCGAAAAACAAAATTATTGACATTTGTAGTAAAAAAAACTTAAAAACATTGAAAATGAGAAATATAATAGCTCAAAACGAGTCAAAATATTTTTAAATTTTTATCATGTATAGAAAATGATAAAATGAACATTTTGTGAATATTTTAAGTATCTACCGTTATTCGTTTTTCAATTACAACAAAACACGAAAATCGTTACAGGGGGATTCGTAAATTTACTGGTGGATATTTAATGTCGAAAAATTTTAACTTAAAACAATCATAGAACATTTATTTGACTTTCCAGTAAACTCTTTTTTGTTAAAGGTAGGAAAATTAAAATTTTTATGAATTAATAAATTTGTCAAAATTCTGACATCAGACGCTCAGAAATAATAATTATTATTTGTGCTCCACTTTTTTTAATTCCACTGATCAATTTATGAGGAACCTATTGTATTACATTTTTAAGTTTTTTGAACGAAAATTAAATAGGTACAAGATTCTTCATAAGTTTCTATAAATTTAACAAAAATAAAGTTTTCCTTGGAAAGTCAAATTAAGTTTTCATGAGGGTTTATGGATCACCTTTTTATAACATCATATTCACCCGTAAATATTAACGAGTTTCTCATCGAACAATTCTCTTAGTTTGTTGTAGGTTAGTTACAACTTGTAGTTCAAAAATATAGGTACGCAGATACTTGAAATTTTCATAAAATGTTTATTTTATCATTTTCTATTCATGATAAGATTTTGATTCTTTTTGAGCTATGTAATAGACGCAATCGTCGGCAATTATGTTTTAATGTTTTAAAATTTAAATACTTATAACTTATCAACAACACTCCTCATGACTCATGAGCACCATGTCACCCACCGAATACCTTCCACCGATTTTACCACGCGACTTTCATTGATGTTTAGAGACTTTCTTTGGGAAATCCCGGCTTTGTGTGCTTATTGGACATATTTATCGATCGACTAAATGTTATTGTGACTACTGACTAACATTTTTTGGCTGCTCATTTGAGCTGATTTTAGTGGAGAAGAAGGGAAGTCCCCTAACTCAAATGTCTTTACAATATTATACAATATAAAATCCAAATCTAAAAAACTAAATAAAAACTTTGTAAAGTTTGTAAGCTTAACCTTCTCCCTAACTTCTCCGTTCAAAATATATCCTTGATTACAAATTCCTTGTCATATATCATTTCATTATTCTTAGTTTAATTTTAAATTGTATATACTTCGGTATTACTTAATGAACTCTAAGAGCTAAGTAATAAATATATTTTTATTTTCATTATATTACACAAGGAAACAATAAAATAAAGTTATTTGTATTAATAATTGTTTAAATCTAAGCATATTTTATTTGTATAGATTAAATATGTTTTAACATGCCAAAATATGAATTAATAGTTTTTGCGATTTTATACTTTAACGCCTTTTCCGATCTTATCATTAGCCTATTATCGTTAAATTGTCATCCTTAGGAACTGTATGATATACTAGTATAATATTAAGAATTGTTTGAGTAAATGTCCTAGTTAACATTCCCAGCAGTGTCCATCAGGCACACTCGGCACGCCTTATTGCGTGTGTAGGTACACCAACCCAAATATAACATAATATTATAATATAGATAGTAAATAAAAGCCCTATACCGTGATATGTGGCACGTACATCGAAAGTGCATCGCGTGGTCTATCACAGGTGCATGTGGCACGTCGTAATGTCTATGTGTAACGCTGTAGAAACTAGGAATCACGAAATGTTTATATATTTTAATATTATTTTGTACAAGAAACAATGCTTTACCCGTCAGTATTGGCTAGGCTATATTATATATTTAGTACAGATTATGTTTTTTAAGTCTGCATTTAAGAGGCTGGGTCTTAAGGCGTCAATTAAGTGGACTTTTTTTATCATTACAAGTGTGGCATCGTAAAAATGTTATAAGAAAAAAACACATAAATACGTAAATCCAGAAAGAGAATATATTTTTTTGTATCCAGATAAAAACAAAAATATTGTTTTGTTGAAAAATCGGTTGAACGACAAATTGAATGCATAGCATTAGATTAATTATTGATAAAACTAATAACAATATATTATTATTCTGCCTTATTTTCAATTATCGGTTATGGCGCTTATTTCAATGTGTCATTTCGCATCTCACTGCATATTATGGTACAAATATAGGTATAATTTTAATTTTAACTTAAAATACTTTTAAATGTGTCTATGTATTTTTAATATTTTAAAACTGTTATAATAACAACTTATTTGTTAATAAACTATTTTCAAAAGTTGGGTGTTAAAATTAAAACATTTAAGAATTTTAAACTACAGAATAATTTGAAAATGTTCGTTATTTTGATGAATTTTGTAAACATTTTAATTTAAAACACTTATTAAAAAAAATTGGGGTATTAATAACTTATCATAGATCTGGTTGCCATTGTCTAGCAATAGCATTTTTATTAAAACATACATTTATTTTTATCTTACTACATAAACTGGTTTTGCGTAAAAATTCCAATTTTTCCTTAATTTTTTTTTTGTTCTTCCCATTTTTAAGATTATAGGGCATTTTTCTTTACTTCTAACTCCCTAAAGTACCAGAATTCGATTTTCTATCAGAAACTTCCTAATTCCCAAAATGTGGGGACGGACACAAAAAAAAATAATACATTGCTCCTCTCAGAATCTAAAATAAATATGGTACAAAAATGTCGATTTAAATTCTCGGACCAGTGACACATTTCAAGTGTCATGTTAAAAATATAAATTATAATATATAAATATAATTTACTACCCATATAACATTAAAACAAATTCTTGAGGTCTGTGAGTCCAACCATAGGGTAAATACATTAAAATTAATTTAAACAGATAACATTGACTATCAAATTAAAATTATTTTAATGTACATCTATATTGTATAAAGACATAATATATATTATATTATGTAGGTTTTTTCTTTCTAACTACTATTACTACTAAGAAAGAATCGAAGGGTTTTTAATTTAAAAAAATAACAAAGGCTTCTATAACCGATACTTAATATTCTATAGGTATATACTATATATACGGTTTATGTATATTGTATATATAAGACGTATTGAATATAGTATATTTAGAAGTAGTTTCACGGTCATTCGCTCATTAGTGAGAGTGAAATGCTATCGTAATTCTTAGGGTAGGTACTTTACACTGTTTTATACATAGGTATATTGTATAGTTCATAAATCATGATAAATAATAAATCACACTTCTTAAGTTGTACTGCAGGTACCTAGTAGAAAATATTACTGTAATATACAGTTAGTCTATTGATTGCATTTTGTTTTCCTAAATTACTATGTCTATAGTATATTATATATTATGGTTATGGTTGCATAAAACGTTATCAAAATTACTGTTTAGTGATTATACATTCTTGGCATGGTTTATTTTTTTACTGAAAATGTTTTAAATAATTACAATTATACATTGCATATATTTATAAATCAATAGATTTCTGTGAAGTATAAATATTGACAAATATTAAAATAGCGTAAAATAATAAATAAACAAATATAGGTAGGTGGGTAATAAAAATTTATTTTTTTCTAACATAAGAATATAATTGTACACATACATTATTACTCAAAATTTGATTGTTTTAGAAGTGAAAAGACGACAGTGGACAGTTGGTGTTTAGAAAATTTAACACATTTTTACATGTTTTTACACATTTTAACAAGTTTAACTAAAATATTTAATCAACTAAATACAATGATAAAATGTGGTTTGTTCATGTTGTGAAAAAAATTGAATATTTTGTCAGAACGAAAATCGAGGTGATTTTTGCGACTATTACTTGAATAAATTAGAGTTGTCTTTTATTGAGTGAAAAATAAACGTATGTTTAAATTTCGTTATAGTTTTTTTTTTTATTAGCCTTTAGTCATAAACTATTATGGCTCAACAATTAAAATATAGTATGACATATAAAATTAATGATGTTTGTTAGCATGAGCAAAATGTATACCAATGGATAAAATAACAACTTATTTATATAAACTAAAGTAAATAAAGATAAGTAATTGTAGGTATGGTCTGATATACGATGAAAAGATGGATAAAAAGGGAAAAACCTGTACCCTATGGATAGAAACGTTTGTTGACAATCTCGGTAAGGAGATTAATTAGTGGAGTAATTAAAGAGTTAAAATTAGAAATGAATTCTGATAGAACATTTAAGATGGATTTCATGGAAGAGGTTACCGTTTTGGTCGCTGCAGCATAGGATTTCCTTGGAAGCTGCTGAGCATGATCACCTGGACCTGGGACATCGTTTGACGAAGACTTTGTAGGCGTTGGTACATTTGTATTGTTGTTGGAGCGGAGGGCTGGTTTTTTGTTTTTGGACAAATCGAACTTTTTATAGGGCAACCCTTGAAGTTGGCAGTGTGATCGCCAGCGCATAAGGCGCATTTTGCGGGGAGATCACGCGGCTTGACGCACTCTTAGTGGATTCGTTATAGTTATTTAGGTTTATTTATTATTCGACTGTCGACAACAATCCAGTCAAGTTCGATTTTGTTATTTACACACACACACACACACACACACACACACACACACACACACACATACGCTCATTTTTTCTGTTGTATCACCTCAAAAGTCCAAAGCCTTATTTAATTTAATTACATTTTTTGGGTATTAGCGATCTCTAGTCTTAACTAACACTACTACACCCGGCCTCCTATCTTTCCCGGTCAGTTGCTCATGCCTTCCAATCGGTTTATTACATCTTCCCACGTTACGTTTTACGCAAAATCGGTTAGAAAATAAAAATATCTGTACCAAGCCCAAAAACACATTTATGTTAAAAAAGGTTCTTAACTATAAAGGTTTTTTAATAAATACTAATATATAGTTAGGTATATTATATATAGGGAGTATATAATATTTCACAATACTATAACGCCGTATTTATTCATACTTTTTTATATTACCTGCCCATCTATATAGATATATCAATTAAAATTTTTATCACATCAATATAAAGTATACATTATTATAACATATACTTTAGACATTAAATAAGTAATATTTAATGAAAATAAATATCCAATAGAATATTTTTATATCAAAGTAAAATAATTTAATTTATTGATATCATTTTCAAGCGTATTGCCTAATTTAAAAGTGTAATATCTTATCACTAAACTGCAGATTATATTTATATGTTACCGTAAATGCCCGATCACTAGGTAAACCTAGGTTTTACTAGTGAATGCTAGGTTTTACTGTTTGTACTCAGTAAATGCTGAAATTCTAAATTTTATTCGGGCTTTTACTAAACACGTTGTGTACATCCTAGGATATACAAATTGACTTAGTAACAGCTGATCAATACACGACACATAACATTTAAGATGCGTAAAAATTATAATTATATATTATTAAAACAAACTACTGACAGTTATTTAAATTCTTTATACAAAATGAAAATGCATCTTAAGTTGTAATCACACCTCAAACATTTTTGCTTGCAACGATTAATAATAATTATTTTGCGAAGATAAATTTACGACTTCGATGTGTTGCAGGGACTTGCATTTTATCGGGTTTAAGATTAATATTATACAACTTATATCATAAGTATATATTATATATTATCAACTTATAACTTAGTAATAGCTGACTGATATCCATTGATTGGTGGCACTAACGGATACTTTATCGCTTATATATGGTTTTATTAGGTAGATGTTCAGTCTGTTTGGGTTTTACGTGATAGACGGATCCATTTGTAGAACAGTGTAATATGTGTTGTGCACTTGTGCGCGTAGTGTTTAATATATTGAATTGTGTTTAATTAATGTAATTTTTAATTATATTTATTTTCATTGTTAATTTGAACAACAAGCATACGCCAAGCTGTTGCTCAACTTTCACTATCAGGCGGGCAAGGATTTTTGAGGTGTGATTGCCAGAAAAAATGTACAACTAAAAAATGCAAATGCCGCCAGTCAAATGTATTATGTAATTTTTTATTAATTTTTAATGATTCTGTTTTTAAATGATTTTTATTTTGTATAAAGAATTTAAATAACTGTCAGTAGTTTGTTTTAATAATATATAATTATAATTCTTACGCATCTTAAATGTTATGTGTCGTGTATTGATCAGCAGCTGTTACTAAGTCAATTTGTATATCCTATAGGATGTACACAACGTGTTTAGTAAAAGCCCGAATAAAATTTAGAATTTCAGCATTTACTGAGTACAAACAGTAAAACCTAGCATTCACTAGTAAAACCTAGGTTTACCTAGTGACCGGGCATTTACGGTAACATATATAGGTACATTTGCATATATGTATACATATTATGGGCAAGTGCATAATATAATCGCTTTTTTCTATGCACATTGCATTACAGGTTCGTTATGTAAATGGCATATAATCGCCTTTTTCTACATGTAAACACTGGTTAAATGTGTAAAAAACTCGGTTGTCGTTGTAGGTATAATATACCTAATCTAACCTATATGGCTATATCTTATCGAGTTTTAAATTCATATCCACCGAGTAGGCGAGTATCCCTTAAAATTTTCTATCCAAACTTGATACATATACCTAACTAGCTTCGCTCATTCTGTTCAGCACTTGACCGACGAAATTCGAAATGAGTTTTTGGGTGTGAACAAGCTTATATCTGCAGTAAAAAAAGTATTCATAAAAGTGCCATCACAAATACAGACGTACCTATATAATAGGGAACAATTATACCGACATTACCACTTCCATCGTAGAACCTGTCATTGTGGGGTACTTGGATCAAAAGCGTTTCGTTCTACAGAGAACATTTCTTTGAAATAATAGGGATAATTAAATCAATCTCAAAAAAAAACAATTATTTTTTTTTTTTAAATATTATTTTATTTTTAGCGCATATTTTAACATGATCTATGAACATTTCAGTCTTTTATGCTGCATATATTTGAATACAAAATTCTATATAATAGAGTTTTTTGCTGCATATGATATATCCGAGGTCTACTTATCACAAAGAAATGTAAAAAAATATTTTTATACATACAATTTTTGAACGTGACTATATTTTAATGTTTATTTGCCATGTATGACAGCCGATTGGTATTAAACTAAAGGTAAATTCCAGATTTAATAAGATCATGGTTCAATAAGTAACAGGGATTTCATATTGACAGACATCGCGAGTCCTATAGGGGCTTACTTTTTCTTCATACAACTTCATATCTATATCCCTCCAAGTATATGTTCCTACTTCCCAGGTATGTATAGTATGTGTGCCGTAGTTTTTGGATATACAATTATAAAAATGTTGATAAGCATAATATAGTAGTATAGTATAGTAATACATTTAGGTATACCATATATCAAGTGTTACAATTTTCAGCTATGTATAGTTGTATACATGTTTACGATGACAACCAAATAACCAATATTACAAACTAAGATTATTTAACAGTAAATATATTTAAACTCAGGACTTATAGGAGCTTAGGACTTAAAGGACTAATAAATTAGGATACCTACTCAAAGATTTAGATGGATATCTGGATGTCACACCAACAAGTTTATAATATTAACTCAATATCTCACTCAGTCACAAGTGCAAGAACATGGCAAAAATAAATTCATGACGATTAGTTATATAAACTATTAGATGATTATAGAGCTACAGAGATATTTAAGGTATCGTGTCATGTTTTACTTTTTCTAATATGTATTAGTAAAACAATTTATGACACCTATACATATTAGAGAACAGATACTGAAAAAGTATCCCAAAGCAATTAATATTATGTAATTAATTAATTATAATAATAAAATGAAACAAGATTCTTCTGTAGTATCGATTTATAAATTATTAGCTCTTAATGTTTGAAACTATAATGAAATAAAATATAACCAAATCAAATCAATTAATAATTTATTGTATTATTTATTATAAGATCATTCACTTATATATGGATAATATAAGATTTTAGAAAGGTCACGTTTTTTTTATTTCACTACTCTTTTTAGTTTTTCCGGTTTACTTTTACAGTTGTATCCCAACACATTGTTATAGAAAAATAATTTTATGTTTACAGTACAAAATAAAACACAATAGACGTCTATAAAAATTGGTTCTAAAACAGATAAGCTTATATAGCCACTAAAAATTAAAAATTAACTATACATCAAATAGTAATAATTTAAATAGAGATGTTAGTACTTACTACTTAGTATTGGTACTTACATGTAACAAAAGCAATATTTATATTATTTCTTGTATATGATTAATATATTTAAGTTTATACTATTTCTGAAAGTACATTCATTATATAATTATATTACCTAAAATTAGTTAGTAAAATTATACAGGTTTACTGTACTGTAAAGTGGAGGTATTCGGAAATAGGCCAACTCATATTAATAATTTTACTTATATAATACATTATATAAACGACTGTGACGTTCCCGTCAGTAAAGTTTTGTATTTTTGCTAATTTAAACTAAAAAAAGTTTTATACTCTAAGAGTTCAGGCTATAAATCCTAAAAGAACATTTAAAAGTAAAATTATTATTAGTTTTATAAAGATAAATTATTGATAATAAATACAAGAATTAATCATAATATGGGTAAAATACATTAAACTTATTACATTATAGATAATAGTAATAATTATAACTTATACTAAAATACTAAAATACTAAAATTTTTTTTAGGTTTCCATTATTATTAGATACAGTGAGTATATACTATATAGTAACACACTTGACACTTGAGGACTATTTGAGGTGTATTTGTTAATGATGTAATATATTTGTATGTGAGTCTTACATAATTTGGTTATTTTTCGGATTCCCTTAGAAGTTTGAGTGCAATTTACTTATACACAAGTTTTGCATTAATTCGTTTACATTAAAGCGCAATTGTTGAACTATGTATAAGAAAACTCTTTTCTCTTGAGAATATTGTTTTGTTGAAAAATGAGGACAACAAAAGGTATATACATAATTATTAATTACCTACACATTTTCACAATTATCAAGATCTAACTACACATTCAGATATTCTTATTCCTTATATATTTTTATTATATAGCTTAAGTAATCGCTTACAAGACCCAAACGTTTATTTATCAGGTCTTTTTTGGTTCTGAGCGGAGCGTGGAAGCTATTTTTTATAATATAGTGTTTTCTTTTTTTTTTATATCCTGTATACAAAATTTCTACCGGAAGGAGTATTTTGATTTCTACAAATAGTATCTTATCTTTTAGAAAATTGGATCAAAATGGTACTTTAGAGAGGTCATTTTTCGATTTTATCAATAGTTATTTAATGCCACGGGAAAAACCACTGAAAAACTACGAAAAACCGTTAATAATGGGATTTTAATTTCTAATGCTTTGTTTATATCCATAGAAATGAATAAAAAATAATAATATT